CCTTGGTTTTTCAAGGATTCTGGCATTTGCGCCTTTTCGGCTCTCCGACGGCTCGAGACGGCCCAAGAAGCCCCCAAGATCGCCCAAGAGGCCCCCAAGAGAGCCCCATGATGGCCCAAGTGGCCTCCAAGATGGCCCCTGGAGGGCCCCAAGAGGGCCCAAGAGGCCTCCAACACGCCCAAGATGGCCTCCCAGACGCCCAAGATGGCCTCCAAGACGGCCCTGGAGCATTCCAAGCGGGCCCCAAATCGGCCCATAGAGGCCCCCCAAACGGCTTCCGACGGCTTCAGACGTGCCAGGAACCCACCAAGATGGCCAAAGTTGGCTCGAAGCTGGCCCGAGACGGCCCAAAAAGCCCCAAAGATCGCCCAAAGCTTGCCCAAGAGGCCTCCAAGACGGCCAAGATGACCTTCAAGATGCCCACGTGTTCCCCGAAGGCTTTCCAAACCGATTCGGGGAACACGTGGTCCGATAGCTTGGCAGGTCTGGCCTCAACGTTCGGCCACATAGGCGCTTCCAAAAAGGCAGGGGGCGGCGGTGATTCGCCGTAGGCGTCTTCGATAGCCTCCCAATGCGCACCATCCCTCTCCTCCTCCTCCTCCTCCCTCCTCCTCCCCTCCTCCTCCTCCGCCTCCTCCTCCTCCTCCTCCTCCTCCCCTCCTCCTCCGCCTCCTCGTCCTCCGCCTCCTCTCCTCCTCCTCCTCCTCCTCCTCCTCCTCCTCCTCCTCCCTCCTCCTCCTCCGCCTCCTCCTCCTCCTCCTCCTCCTCCTCCTCCCCGCCCTCCTCCACGTCAAGTGGGGGTCCTGGTTTCCGCGCACCATGCCCCACGTCCACGCTCCACACGTCTCCTCCTCGTCGCAGGCGGCGCAGCACTGGGAGGCGCTGGTCACGTTCCGGAGCTTCCTGGTGTAGTCCTGGTGGCTAAGGGGCCCTCTCGGGGCCCGGGGGGCCGAGCGAGGCCGGGGCACGGGGGGGCAAGTCCAGGCGAGAGGCAGCTGGGCAGGGAGGGAGCCGGGGCAGCAACAGAGTGGAAGGCAAGGAGGGGAAGGCGGCAAGGGAGGGCGGAAGGGCAGGGGGAGGGGGAGGGAGGGGAGGGGGAGGGAGAGGGGGAGCGAGAGGAGGAAAGGGATGGAGGGTAGGTGGGAGAGAAAAGAGGGGGAGAGGGGAGGGGGAGGGGGCAAGCTAGCTGCGCAAGCGTCATATCTGACGTCCTACCCCATCACTCTCATCCCTCACCGGTGTGCAGATCTCCTCTCTAACTATTCGCACACTCGGATGGTGAACAGGATGATGGCCCCGAGAGAGTACGCGATGCATGGTATAGCACGGCATAGCATGGCATCGCGTCGAGAACGCGACTCCCTTCGACAACAAAATTGAAGGGAAAATAGAAATCACACAGGACGGGAAATGCAATGGAAGCGGGAAGCGCAAAATGAGATCAGCGCTGCAGCTGGAGCACGATTTCGAAGGACCTCAACCGCGAAAATGAGACCAGCGCTGCAGTGGGAGCACGATTTGGAAGGGCTTGCAGCGTGGAAACGAAGTCAACGCTGCAGCAAGAACACGATTTGGAAACCCGAATCACTGACATGAGATCGGCGCTGCAGCGGGAACGTGATTTGGAAGGACTGAGAACGGGAAAATAGAGCTGGCGCTGCAGCGGGAGCGCCATTCTGAAAGGACTGAAACTGAAAACGCTCGGATTGGAGAAAGACAATATAATAACTCTGCGGCATCCTGTGCGCAAAAAACAATACGCGGAGGAGGCCAGGACACCTCACGAGCGTCTTCGGGGGAAAGAGGAGAGTCGTACTCATGTGGTGCAGGTGCAGAGGAGGGGAGGGAGAGACGAGAATGGCGGGCCGTGTCTCGCCAGGAGGCACCCAGATGTTTCATGAAAGAGGCGGGCGCAGTGGCGAGAGGGCGGCCAGAATGCACGATTGACGCTGGGGAGAGCGTGCAACGCCGATCCCCGCAAAGTACGCCATCCCTGTGAGGCGATCTCTCCGCGAAGGCCCCTGCTGTGCGCGCTGGCCCGCTGCCAGGCTTTCCTCGGCGCACGCTGTCCCCAGGGTGGGGCACGGCGTGTAGGAAGCAGGCCGGCTGCGCCGCGTCGCACGCAACCCTTCCAGCACCGACCGCAACTAACCCCATGCCGATGAGAATAAAGTACCCCCCCCCCTTAAGTCATTAGAGTTTATCATCGTCTCCCTATATAAAATTCAAATTGGGCGGCGAGCGTTGAGGCCGAACTTCATGATCACCTCGGAACGTTATTAGCCCTTGCGGGCGGCCACCACCTGGCGGACCAGAAGCGGCAGCAGAGCCTCTACGACGGAGAGGTCGACGAGGAGGAGCAGCAGCAGAGGCCGACTCGGCCGGCCATCCCGACACCCCCCCCCGCCGGGCGCATGCCGCAGGCGCCCCTCGTCTGAAGAGAGTCCCCCACCGCAGGGAGCTCTCGCCGACGGGCGAGGGAGCGTTTTCGTCTGCGGCGGCCTGGCTCCAAGCCGCGGTCGGGGCAGCGGGAGACGCACGGGCGCCTTCCTGGGCACAACAGGCTGAAGGGGCCCTGGGACACACAAATCCGCCGACCCTGTCGGCGTGTGGAAGACGCATCCCGGTGTCGTCGTCTTACGTGGATCACCGTCGTCGTCGTCGTCGTCATCGTCGTCGCCCGAAATAAAAGGAAATCGAACACGAAACAAAAGGAAATCGTAGCCGTGGCGAAGCCCCTCCCTACCCTCCCAAACCCGGGGGGGGGGGGACGGGGGGGGGGGAGGGGGCAGATACGCATCCCCCCAGGCGACCCTCTCCCTCCCTCCCCCCCCCCCCCTTCCCCCCCCCCCTCCCCTCCCCCTCCCCCCCCCCCTTCTCCTCCTCCCTCCTCCTCCCCCTCCTCCTCCTCTCTCTCCTCCTCTCCTCCTCCCTTCCATCCTCCTCCTCCTCCTCCTCCTCCTCCCTCCTCCTCCTCCTCCTCATCCTCCTCCTCCTCCTCCCTCCTCCTCCTCCTCCTCCTCCTCCTCCTCCTCCCTCCCCTCCTCCTCCTCCTCCTCCTCCTCCTCCTCCTCCTCCTCCTCCTCCTCCTCCTCCTCCTCCTCCTCCTCCTCCTCCTCCTTCCTCCTCCTCCTCCTTCTCCTCCTCCTCCTCCTCCTCCTCCTCCTCCTCCTCCTCCTCCTCCTCCTCCACCGCCACGTTTTCATTTCCCTCCGACGTCTTATCACGCATCCCGTCACCCTCGAGGGCCGAGGTATCCAGGGTGGGCGGCACTGGCCGTAAGGCCTTAGCAATGAACCGGCAGTCAGACAGAGGGACAGCGAAGACGCCGTGGTAAACGGCGATGGCGATGACGTCAACGACGGCGACGGCAACTTTTACAGCGTGCTCCTTGGCTAGACAGGCCAGCTTAGGCTTTCGCGTCCTGGAACGAGGGAAAATAGCACGCGCAACAAGAGAGGGCATGTATGCGCTATGCTATCTCCCTGAAGGGAAGAGGGGAGCGAGGATGGGGCAGAGGGGAGGAGCGAGGAGGGGGGAGGAGAAGGAGTGGGACGAATAGGGGGGGAGGGAGAGGAGGAGCGAGGATGAAGCAGGGGGGAGGAGGACAACGCAGAGCGGAAGAAGAGGAGGAGAGGGGGAAGGAGGAGCGCCAGGGCGAAGAGCCGCAGGGAGAGGCCCGGGCGGAGAGCACACTATTGCACCAGCGCCCTCCCGCCCATCCTACACCATCCTGCTCTGCATCATCCTCAACACCCCCTCCTCCCTCCTCCCTCCTCCCTCCGTCCCTGCTCCCTCCTCCCTCCTACCTCCTCCCTCCTCCATCCTCCATCCTCCATCCTCCATCCTCCCTCTCGTCGCACACGCCCCCCCGCCAGCTTGCAACGTAATGCACTGCAAAGCAGCGCAAAGCAGTGCAGTGCGCAGTGCGGTTGCAATGCAAAGCAATTGCAAAGCAATCCGGTGCAAGGCAATTGCAAAGCAATGCAACGCAACGCAAGATAATGCAAAGCAAGGCAAAGCAATGCAAAACACACATACGCAGAATCTTCGTAGATCTACGAAGATTCTACGTCTTGTTCGTAGACTCGACGAGAAAATCAATTCTGGGGGTAAATCAATTCTGCAGTGGATCCTCTACTCGAGTTGGGGCAAATACGAGTAGCGGGAGTGGTGTTGGAGACGGGAGGGAGGAGTCGGAGGCCTGGAAATTGGCACCAACACCAAGACAGAGGGTTGCCTCCACACGGGGAAGATGATCCCAGATCTTCGGTGTTGGTGGTAATAGTTCGGCCACCCTGGAAGCCAGAATATTGCCACCATCACCGAGATCGGGATTTTCTTCCCCCGGTGGAGGCACACCGCCGAAATTGGTGCTGGTGTCAATCTCTAGGCCTGCGAAGGAGGGTCGGGGAAAGAATGGAGGACGGGAGGTCGACTCAACTGGCGATCCCGACCGAGACCCGCTCGGCTTGCGCGCTCGTCCAGCTCGGCTTGCGCAGCGAGATCGTCGTCCGGCACTCTGCCGGAATCTTCGCTGCATCCTCGGGGAGACGTAAGACTCGGGGACGGGGGACTCGGGTTGGCCCGACGGGGCCCATCATAAAAATGCCGAGGCCCAATCTGAAATTTGACGCGAGCTCCCGCTGCAGACATCCCACGAAGACCGGACCGTCAAAATCCAGGACACGCTCGTCAAAAAAACGTCGGCTAACCCGAGTTCCGGCTTACTCGGGTCTTGCGCTCCCCCGACATCCGTGTGATCATCTTCTCCCAGCAGCCCTCCGACGGCAAAGCCCGCATGCCCAAGGTGCTTGACGAGGACGTTCAAGTACTGGATCCCTGTCTCCGTGCGCCCGTGGACGACCTTGACCTCCAGCGGCCCGAATTTCGTCCATTTCTGCACCTTGTGTCTCTGAAAGCCTTCGGCGTTGAAGGTGAAACCCCCAGCCTTCAGCTTGTCCGGCCAAACCCCTGTGATGTTCACTTCCTGGAAATACGTGTCGGCACAATGTCCACCCAGGCGACGCGCGTCTGCTTCTATCGCAAGCAGCGCGTCCTCGACGCGCTTACCACGCGGAATGTTGACCAATGTAACCTTACCTGGCGTCATCAGATCGAACCGTTCACCGTGGATGTTTTGCAGGTGCGGATCACCAGTTGCCGTCGCCGAGGTCGGTGGAGTCACCGCCTGCGTTGGCGCCGGCGTTGGCGCCTTCGCAACGCGGGCGAGGGATCCTGGCCCCCAGGGGGGGGGGCGGAAAATCACCAACCGAAGAAACCGTGTCAGGTCATTACGCATCTGGGGTTATGTTGCTCCCATCGTACTTAAGGACCACATCCCAAAGACAAATTCGAGCACCCAGAAGAGTATCGGAACAGTGTCGAACGAGTATCGCCTCCAAGGGCCCGACGCGTGGAAACCCTCCAGTTTCGGTAATATCTTGGTGCTCGAAATTCTTTCTGGTGGTCGAGGCTAAAGTAAGTTGGAACATCACAAATCTGGTGTCGATGTATCGATGTTGCCTGGCTCTTGTGGGCCCCCCCACGCGGGGGGCGTCCAGACGACCACGTGTTCGATGCCCCCCCCCCCCCGCTTTGGGCGGCCCGCACACGTAGAAGCACGTGGATCCAGCTCGGGGCAACCATGTTAGATGCTCCCCTGGGTGGCCTGGCCACGCAAAAACACATGGCTCAAACTCGGGACCACCATCTTAGATACCCCCCCCTGGGTGGCCTGGACAAGTGAGAACACGTGGTTCCGTCTGGGGAGAAACATTTTTTAACCCCCCATGGGCGATCTGGGCACGTGAAAACAAGCATTGCGCCTGAGACATCCGTTGAGTTCTGGCCCCAGGAGGGGAACGAACTATACGACGAAACCATATCTGCGCCCGAGACATCCTCAACGCATTCTGCAAAACAAGCGTTTCGCTAGAAAAATCTGCAAAAAACGAACATGCGTACTTTACCCTATATTTTTTGGAATTCCCCAAAATAGCGTTTCGTTTCGGACACCATCAACAGTTACTCCACCGACCTTGTTATTTCTCAAGGAGAGAGTCCGCCAGCCACCCCCAAAATGGCACCAGGGACAGATTTATCTACTAAAAGACACCATGGGCCGGAGCCCATTCTGGGACAAACATTTTTTTTCGCGAGAGACATCCTCAACACATACTGCAAAAGGAGTCTTTCGCTGCAGGCGAGGACCTCGCTCGAATATTCCCATCGATGGCCTGGCAACGCGAAAACATGTGATGCCAGCTCGGGGCCACCATCTTAAATACCCCCGTTGATGGCCTGGGCACATGAAAACACATGGTTCTAGCGAGGCGCAGAAGGCAACCATTTTAGATACACCCCTCCCCTGGGCGGGCTGGACACGTAAGTATGCATGGCTTCAGCCTGGGACCACAATGTTAGATACCCCCCCAGGTGCCATGGACACGTAACAGCACACGGCTCCTGCTCGGGACCACCATGTTATATATCACCCTGGGTGGCTTGGCCACTGGAAAACAAGTGGTTCCAGCTCGGGCCCACCATCTTAGATACCCCAACATGGCACAAAGGGTAGGTTTACCAACTACAAGAATCCTGGGCCCGAGCCCTTTCTGGCAATATGATCGACCTACGAACCTGGAAAGTGATTTAGAACTGCGAGGCATGGAAACGTTTCAAAGGACCTCTGTTGGGCGATGGGAAGTGGAAATGCTGGAGATATCGATGGTGATGATACTGTGCCAGGGGCTGTGTTGTGCTGCGTTGCGCTGTGCCGTGCCCCACAGTGACGTACCAAGGGACGCGCCAAGGGACATGCCATGGGGCAGGGGGACGCGCCGCGGAACGTCCCAATGGACGCGCCAAGGGACGCGCCAAGGGACGTGCCATGGGGACGCACCACGGGACGTGCCAAGAGGATGCGCTACGGCGGGACGTGCCAGCGGATGCGCCGCGCGATGGGCCAGGGTGACCGCCACGGGACGCGACAGGAGGACCCGCCACAGGATGGTTGGGACAAAAAGTTGAGTTTTACCTCATTTATCGGGAGTCATTTCGCCAGCCCACCTCAAATAAGACACAAAAGTGAACCTCTAAACAACATGATCGACACACGAACCCGGAAAGGACTATAGGAATGTAAAGTATGGCAACGTTTCAAGGACACCTAATTGGGCGACGGGCAAATGCAATGCTGAGTGTATCGATATTGATGTACAGTGCCGAAGGCTGTGCTGTGCTGCACCGTGCTGAATTGCGATGTGCCATGCCGCGATTGTGCTCTATAGCGTTGTGGATCGAGTCCTCCTTTGCATCCGAGTCCTGACCGCACTGATCTGGATCTTAAGCTCGAGCTGTCTGAGCACATAGTAGCTGCCCCAGAACTCATTGACAGGGGGGCATGCCAGGAGGACGCGCGCCGCGGAACGTCCCAAGGGACGCGCCAGGCGACGTGCCAAGGGACGTGCCATGGGGACGCACCGCGGGACGTGCCAA